CGCCATCTTTGATATTTACTTGAGCCCACGCTATTCTGAATTATAGCACAATTAAATCACACTCGACTGGGTTATGGTATAGATTACTATGCAAGAGAGCACGGCAGACATTAATTTGTTTATTGGTCTTCCTGTGGTACATAATTTAATTTATTTGTCTCGTTTTGAACAAGAAAGAATTTATTTGCGAAAAAGTCGCAGATATATTCAGCATATTTTTTTAAGATGGCCGCCAAGAACACTCAAGTAAATTCGAACTAAGCGTGCGATGATTGATGGGATTGATTTCGATAAGCCAATAATGTTTTGCGCCTAGTCAGATCACGTGGTATTAATTCAGTTCCTTATACTGACGCCAATATCCCACACAGTTCAAACAACGAATGCAAATATCAACTCAAAGTAAAAATTCGGAATTTCAATTTAGCCCAAAACACTTAATTTAGGTACTTAGTTTGTCACATGTCATTGTGAAATGCCAAAATTTGATAGTATTGTTTGAAGTGTTCTTCGGCTGTCTTTGCTTTTATCTTCGTTTTAGATGTGCAGCCGTTTTTAATCTCACGCGAATGATTGAGACATCAATGGGGGRAAAATTTAATGCAAACGAATTAAGAAACATTTGCTCGTTTGCGTTGGATTCGTCGCATGTGGGACTCGGTGTAAAGGTTGGGTCTTACTAGATTTTACCACATATTTTTAGTGTAATTTGTAAAGCGCCATTGGACAGAAATGAAAATGGCGCTATATAAAAATAACAAACCAACCAAGCCACGCTTGCTCCTTAAAACAAGTGTGTAAGGTCACTGAGAATCAAATTATAGACCTCTTGCTTAGCAGGCAGCACACAAACCAAACAAGCCACGCATGCTCCTTAAAACAAGTGTGTGAGGTCACTGAGGATCAAACTATGGACCTCTTGCTTAGCAGGCAGCACACAAACCAAACAAGCCACGCATGCTCCTTAAAACAAGTGTGTGAGGTCACTGAGGATCAAACTATGAACCTTTTACTTATCAAGCAGCAAAACTAACTGACCAATCCCCATTTGCTTCTTAGAACAGGTGCAATGGGCCAGTATACACGAAATAAATTAAAGAACAAATGCATCAATAAAAGTCTTCTTCTGTCAAAGCTATTGTCTGTCATTATTAAAAATTGCTCACCAATTTCCGTGTCCAAAGAAATTATACTTCCCAAATCTTACGAGTTAATTTGTCTTCCTCCATTTGTTTATTTTTCTCGTTTTATTAAACCGAACTCAATCGAGCTCATAAAGGGTTTGTTTTTAATTAGTTTGCGGTATATTTATGTTGACTTAAGATTATTACGTTTCGCAGGAAGAGACGCCTTCCTTGAAAAACAATGCTTGGGACGACTCTAGCTTGACCTTATAAATATTGAAAATTTTGATTTCAATTTATTTGGGTAGGTACTTGAAGGGCTGTAAGATGACAGGCTTGAGCTTGTTCTCTATGAACAAGAATAGAAAACAGCTCAAACGCAGCTATATGAACAACGAAATTGGTTGAAGGCTTTTGAAAGGGAAAGTTGCAGCCCTTAATAAACGTTAAGAGTAAAAGAATCGTTAATTTTTTTCCTCATTGAACTCTAATATACTATAGTCAAATTTTCTAATAACATATATTAATTCGCATCCCAACTGAAAACGCTTGTTTCAGTAAATGTAACCTAATAAACCTGAACATGGAAAGTTATACTTTTGAATTAAGAGCTTTTTGCCAAAGTTATGAATGTTTTGAAAGAGAGTTAGTACGACCGCTTTTTAGGAGCGTCTAGATTTTTCAGCAACTGTAATTATATCGTTGTCACTGTAATAACGATCACAGACTATAATACTCTTAAAGGCGCGTCTGAAACTTGTGTTCATCAAACCGTAGATAATCGAGTTTAGTGCGCTGTTCAACATGGCTAACCAAGTAGTAATGACAAAAAAAGGCTTTCCCCATTTGCAGTTTTGAGTAAGAAGGCAGTAAACCCCAGTTGCATGCGGGAACCAACAAACAGAAAAGGTTCCAACCACAATTGCGATCATAATAGTAGCCTTGTTTTCTTTCTTGATTTTCCTTAAGTTATTTGAATCGTCCTTCTTCACAGACAAAGTTTTAAGATAACTCGATTCTGTTTGAAATTCTCCCAGGGTGACACCAGAAATCTTGTTCCTTTGCTTAAGAGCGGTCCGTAAAATTGACCCGTAAAAAATAATCATAATTAGAAACGGTAAGAAGAAAAATATAATAGTAAAGGTTAGTGAATATATAGGCTTGAATGCCCAGTCAATAGTGCACAAATGCTCATACCATAGGAACGTGTAACGCGAAAACAGAAAGGGAGAACTCGCACAAACAATTGCCTGGAACCAAATAAAACACAGCATAATTTTCACCGAAAATGGAGTTATCAAAGTATGGTACTGTAAGGGATAAATTATAGCGATGAATCTTTCCAGGCTCACAAATGTGAGCGTAAGAATTGAAGCTTCACAAAATAGAGAGTTAAGAATCCCGTGGAGTTTGCACATCGTGTTTCCAAATACCCAATCTTCAGTGATAGATGAAGTTAATGTAAATGGCATAGCCAGAACTGATAATAGTAGATCTGCCACGGCGAGATTAGCGACAAAGACGTTTGTCATCGTTCGTAGACTCGAGTATCGATAGATAGCAGTTAGGATTAAAAGATTTCCAGCGATTCCACCAGCGATTATAAGACTTAAAATACCTGATGCAATAACCGTTTCGATAACTGGTTGTTTATCATTATTTGGGGGGTCAAAACCCTTGGAATTTGTCACATTGTCTGTAGCATTCATGATCTTTAGTTAAACTACACAGGAATTCTCCCAGCAATGAAAACCGCGATTCAAATCCGATTTCTTCCCTTGCAATTGTTGTCTTCCTCGTTTCCGGGTAACGAGCCAGTCAGGAATAAAGGTGTCCCATAGCTTTTTTGTCAAATTTGTAGTTTCAATTTCCTCTGAATTCTTAAATTTAGGAGTTGTCCTTGGATATTTGAATCCACGTCGAATTTTGTAATTCTTCGGAGATTCAAATCCTATATTCTAAATAACACGACTATACAAATAGACGTTAAGCTACGTTCACTCTACTAAGCCCCTTGCCTCCTTTACCACGAGCACAGCAAGCTGTATTTGTTTTGTTAGGTGAACACAATCGGTCCTTCGTCGGCCCAGAGCTTACATGACGACTTGTCAACGTATGAGAACCACTTATCATTTTTCAACTCGATAGTAATAAACGTCATGGGCAACGTAACACACCAATTATGTTTAACTATGCAATCATAATTAAAGTCCACTTTGGATTAGGAAAAGCCCTCGTTTAATTGGAATCACTCGTTAGCACCTATAAAAAAATCCCCCTTAGGTAGAGGAAAGACATTCATTTGTCAAATATTCAATTTTAATTTTGTATATTTAGGTATTTTTTGATTGATTTTTCAATTAAGAAAATTCTAGGATTTAAGGTTATATATATATATA